ACACACCCAGCCCACACACACTACCCCACACACCACCACATCTGAGAAAGTACAAAGACTTGTTCTTCTCTGAAGAGACTACACGGTAAGTTTGAAATTAATACATTCCCAAGGAGCTAGAAACAAGCAATTTCTACAAAATGTTAACATCTCTGAAACCACCATTATTGACTGGTCCAAGCAAGATTTACCCACCTCGCTTTTCAATGATTTGCACTGTCACGGTCTGTCCTGTAAATGAATCATCCTTAGAGCTGTTTGTGTATTTAGGCACATTTCACTGGAGGTATGGTTTGGAACACTCTGTAGAGGCTGACCCGAAGTGGTGGTTAACGGAGCTGGACCTCGCATGGCTGGCCATGTGTTTCCAACACGGGCCTAGGTAGCTTGAGAAACATGCCCAGCTGGTGTATAAGCAGCCCCAAATCCTGATGGGATGGAGAAATGAAGAAGGAATTGCAGCTTTGACCACACCCCATGAGGACGTGCTTGCTTGCTCACTCTCTGAGCATATGTGCTCTCTGGCAATTAAAACACTGTAAATTGTGTTTTGTTTTGTCTTTTAGTTCCACTAAAATCATTCTGAAAAGGTTGGGGCTATTTGTTGTTTCTATGCTCTCATTCAATAAAATGATATAAAAACCCATAAATTTTAAAGAGCTTACTTGGTCTAACCTAATGATTAAGGGAGCTGGGCCCTACCCGGCCAACTGTGGTACAAATCCTGGTCTTGGTGGCTTGAAACACAGGCCAGGCACATGTGCATGCATGCCCCAAGTCCCGACAGATGCAGAAATGGAGGAGAAAGGGTTACAGAGTGACCACACCCCACTGGGGAGTGCTTTCTCCTCCTTTATCTGTCTCTCGCCCCCTGACAGACACACCTGCCCTCTGACTGTTAGACTTCCTTCTCTTGTACTTCCCCTTGGCATTGGTTGAATTCAATCTGCCCTCGGGTAAATAAATAAGATCTAACCATGACAAGGATAAAAACAATATTATTTGAGCACCAAATGGAGGCAACAGAAAAGTTGCAGTAGAAAAAAAAATAGGGGTACATGTTCCATCTTCACATACGCAGTCTGGATGCCCCCTCGAAGTGAAAGCTTTGTGCAGTCAGTAAGTGCCTGTCCATCTGCGTGTTCCTACGCCATTTCTCAGGACCCTGTTTTCCTTATAGTCTTGGCTTCCTCTTTTCTTTCACGTAAATATTCTGGATTGTTGGAAAAGTCATGAAGCATTTTTGCATAGGAAAAGAAGATCATGACTTTTCTAGCAATCCTATATTTTGAAATGGTCACTTTGTCTCTAAATAACTGATGACCAGGGCTCAAAGTTCCCATGGCCCTCTTTGTATGTGATGAGAAACAGAATTACCCACCACCAGCCTCTAAAATGGAAAGCAGGTTAGACTCAAGATACCAGTGCAGCTTTTCTGCCAAAACCAGGAATAGAGGTTTCCTGTGAAGCTCAGAAGGAATGAAATTTAGGGAACAAGATGGCAAATGAGCAAAGCCTATATCTTGAGAGGATGAGGTGGAAGAACAATGAAGAAAATTTAAAATTTTTACTATTCATTTTTAAGATAAAAATTGCACTTATTTTTGGTGTGAAACATGTTTTGATCAATTATATGTACACATTATGGAATAATTAAATCAAACTAATTCATGTATCTATCAAGCACCTTACACATTTGTTTTCTGGGGTAATATTTAAGATCTACTCTCAAAATTTTCAAGTATGCAAACGATATTATTAACCATAATCATCATGCCATAAAATAGAGCTCCAATATTTACTCATACTCTCTAACTGAAACCCTCGGACTGGCATCCCTCTTCCCTACCCATAGCTGCTGGTACCCACCCTCCTACTGGCTCTACTTCACTGGTTGTCTTTGGAATCCAACTTATTTCTCTTTGTATTAAAGAAAACTGTAATTTCAATGCAGCCTCTGGCAAATTTGGAGACAAAACATTATTTGAATTATTTGAAATAAAGGCTTGAAACAAGCTTCTCATTTCTCATACATTTAAATACGTTAAGGTCTATTTTTTTCTTAATCAGATCTGTTGGGGAAAAAAGGCAGAATTTGGTTTACACGTTGATGGAGTAACTGCATTTTTAGGGAGAAAGCACACACGTCCGTGTTTCTCAGCACTGTCTGATCTCTGAAGACATGTGCCCATTTTGTTCCAGCATTTTCTCTAAGTCCCACAACACCTGGTGAATACCCAATAACCCTGCAGTAAGTGTTCCCAACTATGCAACCACACTGAACAACAGACATAGTCCAGATGTTAGTTCTGGCCCAAATGAATCAGAACAGACAGAAATCCAAATGTTACTTTGATCTAGAGAAATCTAAAAGTAATAAGGTCAGTACGTAATAATAAGAGCCTCAGTTCAATCAATCTAAGCTTTTCTCCATAGGGCCTGTGCACTCGCCGGAGAGAGAGAGAGAAAGTGGAAAATCACTACCCAGGAAGATAGCTACACTCTAATCCCTTTTCCTCTAGGCTCCTCTTGGGATTTTGGGCACGCATGCACTTGAGCCTGGGGTGACTTTCAAGCCGCAGGGTCTGGGGCTTGAACCGCAGTCAGCTGTGTAGGAGTCTAGAACCTTAGCTCCCATACCACGTGCTGGCCCTAATTTACACAATTCTTGACATTGAGTCTAGGTGTTTCTTTATATTTCCATGAAGAATCCTAATGAAGTTTATCATCTTTTTTCTTACATCATAAAATACACTGCCATGAATGCCTGTAGTCTTGTAAAATCGAACGGGAGGGGAGGAAGAGAGGCGAGGTTGCTCAGAAACCTGTAAGAGAACACCAATCTTCGTGTGTCCATCTGCAGGGATGTATCTGTGTGGATACATATAATATTTCCTCCAAAAGTGAAGCAGATATCCCACCCGATAACTTACCTCAGCAGGGAATTCAGTGATAGCCATTACTAGAGAAAGAGAAAAACAGGACCAAGCCCAGAACACAGCAGTTAAGCATATAGCAGACCAAGAAGCAAGCCTGGGCCCCATTAGCTTGAAAAGCATGCCAGATACAAGTCATGTGCCCAGGGGCCTGACGGGATGGAGGGTTGGAGAGAAAAGGCCTGCAGCATGACCAGGCCCCCTGGATTACTCGCTCTCACTTCAGGCTCTTATTTTTCACATGTACACACCCTCTCACATAAGAAAGGAAGAAGAAAACAAGAAAGGGTAATAAAGAAAGGGAGGGAAAGATGAGGAGGAAGAAGAAGGGACAAGGAATAACACACCGAAATAAAAATGGTTTAAAGAAAACCTCTTCTTGCAGAAATTTGCAGAAAACAAAACAAAAACCATGCCTACTGAAATGGAAAACTTTCACCTTGGGAGGGGTAAGCGGCCGAGGTTTGTCAAAACACAGAATCAGTATTTCACTTGACAATCCCCATGCTAAATGCCACTGTCATTTCACTGTCACCTTCCGACAGTAAGTAAATAGTTTAATACATATATTCCCCCTGAGGTTTATACACAATCTCGTTTACACAATGGCAACCAATCATCCAGCAAATTCTTGGCTGAGGAAATCAAAGAACATATGTTTACCCAAGGTGCGCGGTAGCTGGACCACACTTGAACTACATTCGCTCTCAGACGGCGCCATCTTTGGTCTACCCAGGAACTTACCCACAGTCATGACAGTTACCACGAACCTGCCGCTACAACCTAAAGGCATCACTGAAAATTATCCTATCAATTTTCCTTTCAGATATAAGTTGACAGAAGCCGCACCAATCCTCCCTTAGAGCAACTCCATTATTTTCCACTCTAGGACTCAGAGTGAACAAAGACTTGCTACCCCTGTGTGGTGTCAGTGGAGTGCGCATAACGTGTTAACATGTTTCAGGTCACTTCTGGTACCTTTTCTTTTCCATTCTCATTTGGACTTGTAGCTTCAGAAATGTCAGCATTTGCTGTCTAAAGAAACAATCTAAAAAAAAATACTTTCTTTATGTGGAAACTGAAACTATTTTTCTTCCTGATTTTTTTATAATCTAACTTTTTTAATGAGCTGCAAATACAGTAAGATTCATAAATCTAACACCATATATGTAATGCCTTCTTTCGTTTTCCCATAGTATATGCATCGTTACAAATCTGGAAGAACTCTATTTTTTATGTTAAGTTACACATAAAACATAATAAAGAAGTTATCGATCAACAGGTCCATTTCCACAATACAACATAATCTAACCGCATCATCTTTCTTAGCAACTTCATCCGAAAGAACTGATTCCAAACAAAATCTGTATGTGTACTGAATTTTAAAAAGAAGGTAGAATCAAACAGAAAACTGTAAAAATCCCATTCTCGATGTGCACATCTTGCCCTTCAACTTCTAAAAGATTCATTTTCTGTATCAATCATTATTTTGCATTTGATCAAATACACATCTCATTGATAATGCTATAAAATACATGAGTTTCCAAATCAATTTCATTGTCTCCCTTCAAAACAATCTGACAATGGAAGAAAACATGCTGACTTTTACCAATAATAAAGCTAAGTGCAAATAATTCAGGCATTCTGCAATTACTCAGAATTTAATTTAATCTGTTCCCAGAGACATCCTGACCAGAGCCTCAACAGTCAGAGCTCCTACCACCACTGTCTGCAAAGGCTTGTTGTGTGCATGGAGAATATACCTTTGAACCTTCTTCCGGTTCTGACAGTCTTACAAACAAACATTGCCCACTCTGTATCATCGACTCACCCAAGTCCACCGACAGCCTTAGTACTACTGGTCACAATGCAGGTTTTTAGGAATTATTAAAGGTATGGTACTTTGAGCGTGAAGCATCAAGGATAAGGCCCAATGGAAACATCACCAATAAAATCCAAAGCAAGAACCAAAATACTGAAGCGATCCTTAACCTTCTTGTGATTAAGAAGCGAGCGGCAAATGCAAATACGAGCACACTTCAGAACCCGACAGCGCGTGCTTACTTTCAGCAGATCCTTGGAGAAATCCACGCCCTCATTGACCCCTTGGAGGTTCGCAATAAACTCCTGGCAGGTCATCTTCTTCCCAATATTCTGGAATAGACACAAATAATTTATGATAATGACATTTATGGAATTAAGATTAGTCCTTAAATATGTGATTAAGCACAGAAAGTATCAATTTGGTTTTTGAAAGCATGAATATTCAAGCATACACAAACACATGTACAGATGCATACATACATATCATTTTAATGCCTAAGACCAACGGATGTATTATGCCTTTAAAACTCATTAAATAAAAAATATTAAAATTATGTGACATCCTTATTTTAATTGACGCAAAAATCTGAACGATCCGTGCTACATTTATATAAATAACAATGTCATCTTAATAAAAACAACACAGGCAAAAATGACATTCCCGGGTTGAACTCGGATAGCTATATATTGATTTGTATTTCCTACATATTGACCAGAACTGTGAAGGAGCTCACATTTAACCGACTTGTAAGCTAACAAGCTAGCCTGTCACAATCTCACGGATGCTGACAGAGAAAGTAAGACTAGCGGTGAGAGACGTAGGCGCTTATTATTCACCACAGGAAGAGCCAGAGTATCGGCATTACCTTGCTCCAGTGCCTGGGCCCCAGCCTCACAGCCAGCTAGCTGCGCTACAGGAGAGGACCTCTAAGCTGGGGAAGCAGGGCTTTGATCATGGTGCTAAGGATGCCTACCCCTTCCCTCTGAAGGGACACCAGCTCTATCCTCCACAGCAATAAGCAAACCGGACCGCTGCTCTGAAGTCGCTACCTTTTCCAAAGTTGTTCACACAGAAATGAGCCTTAGAAGAGGGACAAAGGCAAAGGCAACCAAAGCCTCTTTCATAAAACACACAGAAAACAAAGGACCCCCCCCCCATGGAAATGCGGCTCCCAATAAGCATTTCCAGGCCGATTTGAGGATAATTAAGTTTAATCAAAGAAAATCACAACAATAAAATGTAATTAGAGAACCTAAACCACAGAAAGAAAAACAAAAAAAGATACAGACATGCTAAGAAAACTAAGAAAATTGCTACCATGAAGAATCACTTCCTATGTGAGCTCCGATCACAGAAGCTACTGGTTGTGAAGGATTCTGGGGTTCCATCTGAACACCCAACCTGCAGAGAGGAGAGAGGAGGATGTGGAACACAGGCGAGCAGCACAGGGGTGGCTTCTCTGGCATAGCGTGGTCCAGATGAACACCCATGTACCAACGTGTTAATACACCTGTACACAATGTTCTTAGGAATAAATGGATGCTTTCCAAAGCCATTTCATTTGCTCTAGAACACCAAAAGGAGGATAGGAGTCGCATTCAGAATGAGGTGGCATTCTCCTAAAGACTTCAAAAGGCACGCAGAACCTCAACTGATAACACAGCTAAGCACACGCCTATGTGTTTCAAGAGTAATCACATCCCACCTTCCCTTTTTTTATTTTTTATTATTTTTGGAGAGTTTTGTTTTGTTTTGTTTTGTTTTTGCTATAGGGCACGCGCCCTCTCCAGAAAGACAGAGACAGACAGAGAGGCAGAAAGTGAGAAATCACCCACCCGGGGGGGTTGGGGGGGGGGAAATGGCCATGCTGCAATCCCTTCTCCTCCATCCTCCTCTTGGGATCTTGGGCACGCATGCACACGCGCCCGGCGTGATTTTAAGCCATCGGGTCCAGGACTCGAATTGCCGTCGACTACATGAGAGTCCAGCGGATATAGTCAATTCGCTAACTGCTGGTCCCAACCCACCTTCCCTTTCCAGGCTGTCCTGCATCTATTTTACCAAATCAAAAAATTTTCCTGCTTTATGTTCTATCAATAAGTATAGCAAAAATGCTAAAGGTTTGGGTTTTTTGTTTGTTTGTTAAAAATCTTCTCTCTTCCATCAGCAAAGAGGGAAGAGTCAGATTTTATATGAAAAATGGGATGAACAGTTTGACAATGACAACTAGCTTCGCCAACTAACTTACTGAGAGATAGTTCTCATAAATTAAATAAATCTGCAGTTCCAAAGTCTCGATGAAAATGTATTTAAAACACAGGAAAGAATTTTAATAAAAAATATCCAAAGATCGATAGAAAAACATGGTAACTCAATTCTCCCCATCCTTGGGAGGGCATCAGGTCAAACAAGGTGCCTCAGGCATTTTGACAGGACTGGGGAGGACCATGTTGGATATGTTCTGATGATGGGAGAAGAGGAACGAATAATAACTAGGTAAATTCTTCTCCAAGTCAGAGAGTTTCCAATTCTTTGCTTTTAACAGAAATCAAAAGAGGACCTAATTTAATCATCAGTTAACCACCAAAAATGTTTTTGATCTCTGAAAGATTCAAATACTTGTACCTATTTTTAAGTCAACTGTTATTAATCACTATTAAATAGAAATCATTCTACAAGAAAAATTTTAAAACATGAAATCTTAGAAAACTTTCCATTTAAACAGTTATTACAGGGAACCAGCAGTTAGTGTAATGGCTATGTCACTGGACTCCCATGTAGTCGACCGCGGTTCGTGTCCCGGACCCGGTGGCTTAAAACTCACGCCGGGCGCGTGTGCGTGCGTGCCCAAGATCCTGAGAGGAGAATGGAGGAGAAGGGATTGCTGCGTGACCATCCCCCCTGGGGGGTGATTTCTCGCTTTCTGTCTCTAAAGTGTCTGTCTGTCTGGCGAGCACACGCGCCCTACAGTGAAAATCTCTCCAAAAAAAAAAAGAAAACCAGTTATTACAAATAAGAATTGGATAATGATCAAAAAATACTCAAGCATAACAGCATGCAACAATAAACTCCTATGTAAAAGACTAAAAGGATGAGTACAATAATCTCTCTTAACAATGAATGTGTAGGCCCGGATTCTGTGAACTGCACTCCAGAGCTGTAAGCCACATGCTGACCGAGGTCCGAGTCCCCAGTCTGATCAGCCTGAGAACACGTGGGGTATGTGTATAGGCTCTTGGGAGGCAGAAAGGTGTAGGAAGGGATCGTGGTGCGACCAGGCCCTGGGGAGGGTACTTTTCTCTCTCTCATCAGTGTGCACATGCTCTATCATGAATTAAAAAATAACTGGGTGGGGGTAGCAGATGACATAAGGGTTATGTTGCTGGATCCCCGCAGAGTTGACCGCAGTGAGTGTCCTGGACCCAGCAGCTCAAAACTCATGCTGGTGTGAGTGTGTGCATGTCCAAAATCCTGAGAGGAAAATGAAGAAGGGATTGTGGGATTGTGGCATGGCCATCCACGCTGAAGGGTGATTTCTTGTTTCTTGTCTGTCTCTCCAGGGAGTGCATGCACCCTATAGCAAAAATCTCTCTCTCTCTCTCTATATATATATATATATATAAATATATATAATTCGGCTAACATTCACTTTTTGGAACTATGTAATTCAGTGATTTTTTAGCATATTGGTAAAAGTTGCACAATCATCACCTCTATCTAAATTCAGAACGCTCTCATATTCAGTCACTTCCCAAATCTCTCCCACCGTCCCGATATAGCCATCTCCCGGCAACCACTGATCTACATTTTATTTATATGGATCTGCCTATTCAGGACATCTCATGTAAACGGAATCATGTGAAAGTTGCCTCTTATGTCTGGCTGGCTCTTAGCATGTTTTCAAGGTCTATCCATGTTGTAGCATGAATCACAGCCCTTAATGCCTTTATGGCCAGGTAACATTCCACTGTACGTGCGTACTGAATTCTGTTACCCATTCCTAAACTGACGGACACCTGGGCTACTCCCGCCTTCTGGCTATTAAGAATATTCAGGTACAAGATTTTATGTGGACATGCGTGCATCCCTGCTGGGTATACACTTAGGAGTGGGGTTGCCTGGTCCTGTGATTAGTTCATTTGAGGAGCTGCCAGGCTGCCTTTCAAACCGGCCACCAAGCTTCACATTCCAGCCAGCAGCATCTGAGGGTTCTCATTTCTGTCCCCCTCACCAACACGGCTCCTCTGTCCCTTATTTTAGCCATCCGTACGAGTATAATCCGGTATTGTGTGATTTCCATTTGCATTTACCTAACATCTAATGATGCTCAGCATTTTTCAAGTGCTTATTGGCCATTTGTATATCTTCTCTGGAGAAACGCCTATAACCATCCTATCCCTGTTGTCTACTGGGATATTTGCATTTATATCGCGAGATACAAGAGCTCTTCATATACTCTGGACATACATCCCTTATTAGATATATGTTTTGCAAGTATCTTCTCTCTCATGGAATTTGCACTGCTTTTCTTTTTTTTTCTTAGTGTTTTTCACTGAACCATAAAGTTTTTCACTAGAGGGACCAGCAGTTAGCGTAATGGCTATGTCGCTGGACTCCCACGTAGTCGACCACGGTTCGTGTCCCGGACCTGGTTGCTTAAACTCACGCCAGGCGCGTGTGCGTGCGTGCCCAAGATCCCGAGAGGAGAATGGAGGAGAAGGGATTGCGGCGTGACCATCCCCCCTGGGGGATGTTAGTGCTTACATTTAGATATGTGATTCAAGTTAATTTTTGTATGTTCCCTGAAGTATTGCAGAAATTCAACTTTATTCTTTTACGTGTAGGTACCTAGTTGTTATAGCACCATAGATTGAATATTCTACTCTTTCTCCTAGCAAACCATCTGGCACCCTTGTTAAAAGCCAACTCACTACAAATATAAAGGCTTACTTTAGACATCTGATTCTACTGCATGATTTAAATGTCTAACTGTATACCAGTAACAATGCCTTTTTTTTTTTTTTTTTTTGAGAGGTTTTTGCTATATGGTGTGTGCATTTGCCAGAAAGAAACAGAGAGACAGAAAGCAAGAAATCACCCCTCGGGGGGAAGGCCACCCCACAATCCTTTCTCCTCTCGGGATCTTGGGCACACACGCACGTGCGCCCGGCATGAGTTTAATCCACCGGGTCCAGGACTCAAAACACGGTCAACTATATGGGAGTCCAGTGACATAGCCATTACACCAACTGCTGGTCCCTAACAATGCTCTTTTGATTATTGTAACTTTGTAATAAGTTTTTGTTGTTGTATTTGAATCTGTGACTAA